CATTCAGGCACAACAAATTTTTTTCAAATGATTTAGTAGGTGAACAAATCACCACCGGATAAATCGTGTGTTGTGATAACGATTCGCACCATTCAAATATCCGACCAAAACAATGCCACTACGAATCAGACCGTGTGTGTTGTATGTATGTTCCGGTTTCCTCTGTGCGTGTTCCAGCGGTCTGATACAAGGGGACTGACTCGGTTGACCGGTTTCACGCATCACCGCGCACACTGTCACACCTTTCAGGTTAACTGAGAAGAAAATGAGTTCCGCTTGATGTGAATCGCAAAGCGGGGCAACTTTAAGACAGGCCCCGAAAATTAGGTGAAGCTCAGAATCGGGGAAATCAATCATTTCTAGCTTGTTGCAACTAATGAATCACTGTTACAACACGTACGGTATGAAAACGTTTCTGGTGAACAGACAGTAATGCGGGAATTATTCAATCCGATCTTCTGTGCCACTCTGTGCCACAGTTCAAGTGTAAACGTGACCAGGAAAACTCCGTCTGAATGCGAACTTATTCAATGGAATCATTTAATTAATGAATCTGCATATTGTCCTCTAACGAGTTAAAGAATCTTGCGAAATAGGCGTCCGCTAGTTATTGGTCGACTATTTCCTCTCTCTCTCTCTCTCGTTCTATGTTCAAATTCTCATCCATCCCTGGTCCCTTAAATTCCTCGCTTCTTCACTGTGTCCGTGGCAACCTTTGATTGATTGTAGCCTCAGCCTTCAAACATTCAACTGCTCTGTTGGTACACGCTGGAAACTGGAGGTGGGTGGGGAGGATTCACTGACGAGGAAGAGTATGAAGACATTTTTTGTGGCATTCGACAGACTGAAATGAAAAGAACTCGCGGAGATTTACTTCTGTGGGCCGAGAAAACAGTACATATGTTGAGATAAAGTTTTTGAACACGCACTTGTCCGAAGTAAATCGAAACAGTAAACTCGTGATTTCAGTCACATGAATGAATAGATCAGTTACTGTTTAAACGGTGGTCCCACCGAGAACTGCTTACTGGTGAGGACAAATTTTCCAAAACATTTTCCAATCTTACCGGGCAGAGTTGAGGATTTAGACTATGACGGCATATTCACACTGACGTTCTCAGTTCTTGGCGGTTGATCAGGTGGGTGATGAGAGCATTACGTCACCAGATTTAGAGGGGGGGAGATAGTGTTCTCAGACACAAATTCTAGCTGCACAAACAAGTCATGTGGTTACGGAGACGGATTACCATTGCCTAGGGATTTGACAGAATTCCAGATATAATACCTTGTTTAATGTAGCCATATCACTCATTACCATGGTTTACGCTGATCTCATGGTCCCGAATCCAGGAAGTTGAGCACATCCAGGTCACTTGGTAAGGGTTTTCATACCATCATGCCAGGATTTACTTTGACCATCCATAGTTGGCACATCTTTTGGCCTCTGTTTTGCAAGAGGACTCTCCATGGAACATTATCTGTTCTTTACAGGTAAGCAAAGTGTGGTATTTGGACTCGAGAACCCGGAAGAACAGAAGATAAACAGTGAAAACATACAATTTGAGATCACGCGCATTTTGAACAGGGAATGCGGTATTATTTCGATCAGGATCGAACTCGTGTGAGATGACCGCCCAATTTAGCCGTATCCCTATTTCAATTTCCAAAAGGTATAGTTACAAACCGATAGCTCAGGACAAATGGCATTCACTCCGAACTTTAGCATCCTTAACGATATTTGATATTTTCCTGTATGACACTGACAATACCTTAACAATAAAATTTTGTCACAGTTTAAAAGTGTCAGTTCAAAATTAGAAAATATTTAGTTCCAAGAGGTAGCATAGAAGTTTCTTCTTTCTAACAAACGAGGATTGTTTCTCGTTTACCTCCACATCATACATAGCATATGTTCATCCATACGGCACAAAGTAAATAAGCCGGTAAATGATAACTTGTAGTCATAAATAAATTGAAAAACAATGCGGCTAAAACTGTTTTTCACGTAAGATTCTCTATCCCGAAGAGAGTGAAAATATATTCCAACAGTCGTAAAAATCGATTTCTGGCAAGCAGGTAGACAGACAGACAGGCAGGCAGGTAGGCAGGCTTTGTGCGGTGTGCGATGTTACCACGTCCAAACCGGATGAGATATTCTCAGAGAAGTTTCCGGTGTACAACTGAAGCAGTAGAGTAACGCCTCAAAGAGATGTCTAAATAAGGCGTCTCTTTCTCCTAATTTGTGCAGACTGTTTCGATGCAAACCGGAAGCATTATATAGTCAAAGGAATTTTCAAAGTTATACAACAGTGGAGGATGAAGAGAGTTGACCGCATCGAAGCAAAATGATAATTAAATTCGATCGTGGCTGAGAAAAACATACAAAGAACCAATTTGGAGGATGGTCCGGGTGGCAGCACCATTTACAAAGAAGGAGACATATTGATTTCATCAAGAAATTATAATCACATTGACCGTTTTTCTGGCGTTTGGTTTATTGCATTGCTGAATGTTTAGTGGTAGACACGTAATATACGTAAGACGGAAATAGATGATTGGTTGAGTTAGATGACGAAAGAAATGTAGTTCACTTATCACAAATGTAATTGTGTGTCTGGCCTGACGAGGACTTTTTTAATCACACGTCTTAGTGTGATGTGCAGCAGACAGGACAAACTCCATAGTCACGAGGATCTGTTGTTTAGTGATTCAGTGGTGGCATCTAAGCCCCGCGGGACTTGGAGTACGACGAACCACATAAGGCTCCGCTAGGTTATGCGTGGTATTAAAACCGCACGACAACAAAGCTACGTAACACCAAATTTGCGTGGTGGAGCTCGAACCTCGGACAATAGCGCGCACATATAGCTGAGGGAAACCCGTATGTGGATAGTGATAAATTTTTTGTTCTAACCTGGCTGGTTTTCGGTGACTGCCACTCTCGGAACGCATTCATATGAAACCATATCTTTTCAAGCTGAAGCTCCTCAATCTTATATCTCACAAGCTGCTGTTCAGAGACAAATTTTACACCTCATTATATACATTAGTTTCTCGCATCAGTACAGTTTCTTGATTGGTAAGTTCAAGAGTTGGATTCATTCAGTTACCACCCCGCAGCCGGAATCGGCCTGTAATAGAAAACTTTTTCTCTGCATCATCATCATCAGCAGCAGCCTCATTGCACAGCGTAATACAATGAAGCGAACTTCACTGATCGCTGAAAAACTCTCAATGCATTGAAGCTA